AGCTTAAGAACATGGATAAACAATGCTGTATGTTAAGGACATGCACACATTCATTAGTGAAATATGAAGAAATGCATGGGACTAATGAATGTCCCCTTCAATTTCCTTTAGTGCATAGAGGGAGGGGTTAGGAGAAGCACATGGGCTCAGTGAGGGTAATATTTACCTCTTCACCTGGAGGTGGGTGCATGCGTGTGGCTCCCAATGCTGGGGTCCTACCCAGAGCCCCACCTGACTCACTTCTAACTCACACTCTGGAACCTCCGTGGGGTCAGGCAGAAGCTACGCCTGAGACTTGCCTGAGGTCACACCTTGGCTGGGCTGCTGTCCCTTCCCTGTCCTCATTCTCCCACTCTTTCCCGTCTCCTCTGGGAGCACATCCTTAATGAATCCAACTTCAGGCAGTGGAGAGAGCCAACTGCCCATCAGGCCTGCAGCTCACTGGGAGGTCAGGGATGAGAGATGCTGGCTGGGGGAGGAGGGACCAGATAGGCAAGAGGGACTTTGAGGCACAGTTGGGAAATTAATGGGAACGACGCCCAGCAACCCAAATAAATCTATATATATTCAACGTGATCCCAGTAAAACAAAAAAAATTTTGGAGCTAGATTAGATAATTTGATGCATTAAAAAAAAAAACAAGCAATAAGTTTGGAGAGCTGAAAGGAGACAAGGAAGGAGGGAGGGAGGGAGGACCCTGTGGCAAGCCAGGTGGGGTCCAGGGTAAAACCCTGGAGTGTGGAAGGACAGGCCGTAGTGTGTTCTGGCCCAGGCCAGAAGGCTGCTGAGGTGCTGGCTTCTCTCTGGAAAGAACAGAGCCTGAACCTCCTTTGGGGGCTCTTACTTCCCAAGCCTGGACCCTGATCAGAAGTGGCCACACCCCCTCTGTACCTCCAGCCCCCACTGGGTGAGCCATGATCCAGGTAGGACCATGTCACATGCCAAGTGGCCAAATACAGTTGACCCTTTCCCTGCTGGCTTGTTTGCTGTGGCTGAGATTGGATAGTAATGAGGGGGGGATACTCAGTCTTTCACAGGCGCCAAATCCACCAGGCTCCTTAGAAAGGGTGCCCTGTTCTTCCTGGCTGGGCTCTTAGTGCTGACCCTGGTGCTGAACAAACCTTCCTTGGGAGCACAGAGTCTAATTTGGCAGGACAGATCCTCCCTCCCCAAGACAAGCTGCCAGGGTCAGAGCAGGCTGTAGCCGACTTCTGACTCCTAAAGGAAGGTCCGTCATTGCACCCTGAGGGGTGAGCCTTGAATTTGTCAGCAGCGAAGCCCTGAATTGTCCCAGTGCTGCCAGGACACTGAAGACTTGCCTGTGAAATTACTTGTATATAGTGGCAAATGCTCCCTGGAAATAGTTGGACTCTTGCAGTGAACAAAAGGAACTGATTTACAGGGCTGGGGAGGGAGCCCAGGCATGAGAGAGATTGAGACAAGTCCATGGATAAGAGGGGCACTCGGTGAGAAGAGCTTCAGGAACAATACCAGCCATTTACTCATTCATTCACTGAAGTCAACAAGCATGAGATGACCATGTGCTAGGGGATATACTTCACTGAACAAAAGTGACAAAGTCCTCTGTCCGCAGGAACTTACACTGCAGTGGGGTGGGGTGGCGGGGTGCAGGTGGGAGACAGGCAAGGAGCAGCAGGCATAAAAAGTAAGTCAATGGTAGAGTGCATTAGAGGGTGGTGAGTATTGCAGACATCAGGAAAAAGAAAAAATAGGGCACAAGAGGTGGTGTGGTTGCAATGTTAAGTAGGGAAGGCCTCACTGAAACATTTAAACAAAGATTTGAAGGAGGCGAAGGAGTGAGTCATGCAGGTATCTAGGAAACGAACATCCCAGGCGGCAAGAGCAGTCAGCAGATATCCTGAGGCAGGAGAGTGTCTGGCCTGGTGGAAGCACAGTGGGGGGGTCGGTGTGGAGGGAGCCCAGTTAGCAAGGTGAGGATCTGTGGTCACCTTATGGGTCTTTGGCTTTTTCTCCGCGTGTGGTGGAGAGCCACAGGGTGGTCTGAACTGAGATCGGCCTTCGCTGGGGTCACTGTGCTGAGAACAGAGTGTAGGGGCAAGCATGGAGCAGAGAGACTGCCAGGAGGCAGCGTAGGGCTCCAGGGGAGAGATGCCGGGCGCTGCATGGATTCTGAAGGCAGAGCCAGGAGCTTGCCTGACAGATGGGAAGTGGGGGGTGAGAGAGAGAGAGGCTTCAAGGATGGCACCCAGGTTTCTGGCCCCAGTAACCGGAAGGAAGGGGCTGGCAAGAACCAGGGGAGGAGTGGGTATGGGGGTGGACAGCAATCAGGAATTCAGCCTTGGACTGCGTGGGTTTAACACGCCTATTTGACGCATTGTGTAGGCAGCTGATGTACAAGTCTGGAGTTTGCAAGAGAAATCTGGGAGTCACTGGCATATAGATACAGATATTTTAAGTCAGGAACACGCACTATTTGCCATAAGCACTAGTGGTTGATACAAAAACCTTCTGATGTATTTACTATTATTATTTTCATTTTACAGATGTGGAAACTGAGGCTCAGAGAGAAGTAACTTGCTCGAAGTCTCACAACTCATTGATGGCAGAGCTGAATTCAAACGTGGGTTACCTGACTGAGAATCTTTGCTCTTAGCCCTCATCTCCACAGTGAGCCCCTTACTTAATCTTGAGAGCCGACCATGTGCCAGGGGATATATTTCACTGAACAAAAGTGACAAAGTCCTCTGTCCATGGGAACTTACATTGCAGTGGGGAGAGGTGGCGGGTTGCAGGTGGGAGACAGGCAAGGAGAAACGGGCATAATAAGTAAGTCAATGGTAGAGTACATTAGAGGGTGGTGAGTATTGCAGACACCAGGAAAAAGAAAAAATAGGGCAGAAGAGGTGGTGTGGTTGCAATGTTAAGTGGGGAAGGCCTCACTGAAAGATGACATTCAAAGATTTGAAGGAGGTGAAGGAGTGAGTCATGCAGATATCTAGGGAAGGAACATTCCAGGCTGCAAGAGCAGTCAGCAAATATCCTGAGGCACAGGACGTGGCCTGTCACATATGAGAATGGATAAAGTTTGGCTCAGGAAGACGGATAATCCAGAAGAGGACAGGAGCAGCAAAGCAAGTCACACAGAGAGGGAACACACTGTTCTTCAGGAAACGGAACCCTGGAGAGCCGTGAGATGAGACCAGATGAGTGAGACCAGGCCTTTAAGACTGGCCTGAAGAGTTTCAAGTGGAGGGGGAAGGAAGCAGGGAGCCATTGGTGGTTCTTGAGTCCGGTGGGGAGGGCAGTATGCAGTCAGAGCGGCTCTTGAGGAAGACTCAACAGACCTGGGCATGCAGGCAGGTGACTGTGGGAGGACCGGAGAGGAGGAAACAGGCCCAGAATTTGTTGATCTTATCTGGGTGTGAAGAATTCATTCAAGCCCATGGGAATGAAGAGGAAGTGAGAGAGCTGAGCCTCGCCTGAGGATATCACTGAGCACAGTCTGTGCCTGATGAAACATGGGGGCTGGAGGCAGGAAGGAGTCAAAGGCAAAGTTTCAGACCAGTGGGGCAGCCGGGGAGGTGGGGAATGATGCCGGCTCGCACAAGGGAAGTTGGTCCTGCCTTTCTTGTTCTGGGGGCTGAGGGAACCACAAGGGGTCAGATTCCTGCTTCCCAGGAGCCCAAAGTCCAGTGTGAGTGACAGACCTGCACAAAGCTGGCTAGACTGCAAGGCAGGGCGCTGCGGCCTCTGACAGGCTGAGGAGGCTGGAGGATGGGGCTGGGTCCAGGTGGGTGTGTCCACACAGTCACTGGTCAGGGCTGGGCACAGAGATCCAGGCAGCAAGCAGCCCGAGGTCAAAGGCCTGAGTGGATGACTCAGGGGAGGGAGAGAGGGTTGCTTGAGGCAAAAACAAACACTAGGATAGGGCCCCAGGCTAGCTCTGTGTGCCCTTGAGCCAGCTTTTTAACCAGTGTCATTGGTCCCTAGTAACCTTAACTGTAAAATGTAGATGATAATAGTTCTTACCTCCAAAGGCTGTTGTGAGGACAAAGTAAACCAATAAATGTAACTGCCAGGAACCCTGCTCAGCCTATGGTAAGAGTTCAGGGATGAAGAACCCACAGAGAGCTCGGGGAAGACATATGTCCTGAATCCCAGGAGGAGTGATGCCAAGAAGGGAAGTGGTTCCCAGTGATGACAAGGGGGTTCATTAAGCCACACAGGGACCAGGAACTTTCTCTACGGCCTCTTGAGTGGGGTGGGGAGGGAGTGTCTGCCAGCATGCCCATGTTACAGGGGAGGGCACTGAAGTTCATAGACTTGTCCTTGGCCATACAACCAAGAATGGGTAGAAGAGGTACTGGCACCCAGGGCTATAGATAATGATTCCAGAGCATCCGCTGGTAACCATTGCCCGACTCTGCTCCTTGTGAGGGGATGGGAAGTTCAGGGATTGGTCATGGGGTTGAGAAGCCTAGAGAGAGTGGCTTCCCCACTGTCAGGGCCTAAAAGCCACATTGCTAAGAATTATATTACACGTGGGTAGAGAGGAAATGGTAGCAGAAGGTGTAGACCACATGTCGGAGAAGTTTGGTCATGAATGAAAGGAGAAATAGGCAGACAGTATGTTGGATGTTAGGCAGGAGTGGGTGTTGGGGTCAAGGAGAGGGTTTATGGAAGTGGTGGGACTAGGGCATGTCGTCAGCAGAGGGGAAGAGGAACCTTGGGATGGGAGAAGGTGAAGAGCCAGGAGGTGGGGGCATCGCTGAGGGAAGGAGGCCCTTCCAGCATCAAAGAGGAACGAGAACAAAGCCACAGTTGAAGCAATTCAGGTCATAACCCACAAGAACGTTGTCAACTAGATGGGAAAAGAGTCACAGAGGGCCGCAATTAATTCCTCTGACTCATCCATGACCGGAGGATTCAGGTATGTCTAATGAACTGATGGGACACGATGGAGCACAAACAATCTGTTCTGGGATGAAGGAGCCTCTGGGATAGAAGGTAAGCTGGGCTCCAGCTATAGTTCAAAGATTTGTAAGTGTCCATGCATCCATGCATCCATGCATCCATCCATCCAAGCCTCCACCTCTTCATCCATTCAGTACACACATTTTATTGAGCACCTACTGAGTGCTAAGTCCTGGAGATACAAGTTGGAACAGCAAAGACATCCTGTTTGCAAGGAGTTCACAGTCTCCTACCTTAGACCCAGCACACAAATGAGCAATCACAATGCCATGTGAAGAGGTCACAATGGGAAGGTCAAGGACCTGTGAAGACACAGAGGAAGGGGGGCGTTGAAGGAAGTGAGGGTTGCAGATGTGATCTGAAGGAGGGTAGGAGAGAAAGGAAGTGGGCTGTGGGGGAGCAGGAGAGAGTGGTCTGGGGTGGGGCAGATCCTGTACAGAAGTTTGGGTTTGAGCCTGGCGTTTTCAAGGAACTGAAAGAAGGTCCACATGGAGGGAATAAAGTGATGTGGTGGGCAGTGGGACTGGGGGTGAGTGCTGAGGTGGAGAAGTAGACAGGAACCTGGGCTTCATCCTCAGGGCAGCATGGGGGCGGTGAAGGACGGTGAGAGCCTTGCACAGATTTGTTTTGGAAAGGTCGCTGGGCTTTAGGGAGAAGGACAGACTGGAGGGGCAAGCCTGGAAGCTGGGAGATGAATGTGAGGCCCTGGTCTGGCAGAGAGGTGGAGGGGGCGGCCATGTGGATGGAGAGAAGGGGATGGGCTCAGGACCCACCGAGGTGGCCAACTCCAGGCCTTGCTGGGGCAGGGGTGACGCTTGCGTTTCTGACCTGAGGAACTCAGCAGCCCAGCGACCTGTCAGGACCAGCTGCCTCATCAGTGAGCACGTCAGGCTCCTGCATCACGGGAGGGGGACTTACTTTGGGTTGGGAATGGAGATAACACTTAGGACCCTTGCATCTCAGCCCCCATGGGCAGGGCAGGGAGAATCTAGTTCCAGCTGTCCGAGGATGGAGCCGAGTGGGTTAAATGCTAGGTGCTTATCAAGATGCCCCTGGAGACCCTGGGCAAGTCATTGGCCTTGCTGGGGCCTCAGCTGACATGGGCATGACCTGGGGTGAGAACTTGTGCCACCCAATGACAACTGTCATGTGCAATTTGCAGATGATCAATGACAACTGTCAAGTGTAATCTGAAGATGATAAAGCGTTCCTACCCAGAAGGCTGGCCCCTGCCCTACAACTGGGGCTAAGTTCTTGGCAGTGTGACAGCAGCGTCCCTGTCCCACTCCCAGCACACAGGACAGCCAGTGGGGCAGGAGCCCTTCCCCCCACCTCTCAGGGTGAAGGACCCAGAATCTGGCTGGTCCAGCCCCTTCAGGCCGAAGGTGGGTGTGGATGCCCTCCAGCTGGTTTTATCCCAAGGGACACCCCATGGCAGCCGTCTAGGGGCTGGACTGGGGGCGGCAGGTGCACAGGCGCCATACTGGGAAGGCTTGAGACAGCAGTGTTGAGATAGTGAGTCACTGTGGTGGCTTTCTCCCACTCAGGACCAATTACCCTTCAAGGGCTCTCTCCTAACAGGCCCATGTCTAGCCCACGCCTCTGCCCTGCCCTTCCTCAGGGCCTCTCCCCTGCTGCCCCTCCACAGAGCACTGCCTCACTGCCTCCCCCAGGGTGTCTTCCTGGTTCCCCTGATGGCCCTCTGAGCCCTAGAGTCCACACAGCACCGTAAAGATCTCTCAAGGCCCTTATCACTGGCCGAGCCCCTAGGACATTTCATCTGGAAGGTCCCTTGGAATCCATCTTGCAGCCAGGAGAACCAGGGAGAAATAAATCAGTTAATCCCTAAGCAGGAAACCACCTCAAAAATGTCCCTGGGTCTCTGCTGCCTCCCAAGTGAGAGGAGAGGTGTGCTTGCCCTGCCCCGCTTGTCCCCAGGTTCTCCTGCACAGACTCACCTCCCTGTCCTTCGGTCTCCAGTCCCTGCTTTGTCAGCTGAGCCTCACTGCAAGCCCACTGCGTGCAGGCATGGTGTTTGGCGCTGCGGGCCCGCAGGTCACAGACATGCCCTGTCCTCATGGAGTTCGCTGCCTCAGTGTCACATCTGGGCCATTTCCCCCACCAGAACTCTGTGCTGTTCCTTTCATTTGTCTCCACACATGCCCTCCTCTGCACCTTTGCCAAGTGCTTCCCTCATGTGAAATGCCTGGTCCTCCTTCTCTTGGTGTGAATCCTCCCACCCATGAGGTCTGGCTCTCTGGCCACCGCCTCCACGCTGTCTTCCAAGTTCTCTGAACCAGAAGCAACCTCTCCCTGCTCTGGGCTTTAAGGCCCTGTATGTGGCCTGCATGTTCCAATGTTGAGGGCCAGGCCTTGTTTCCCCTCCACTTTCCCACTTCTGGCCTTTGCCTGCCCCATAGCCCTTGGCACAGTGCCCCACTCACTGGCCTGCTTGCTGCTCTGTTATCCCTCCCCTGACAAGCATCCTGCATCAGCCCAGAGCTAGTCCAGAACCTTGTGTTCCTACTGTCGAAATCCCTTCCCTAGAAGGGACAGGGGAATTTGGGTCCTTCCAGAGAAAAGTTCAAAGTCTGTGGCAGAACGAAGGGGACTGGAAACTCACTCAGGGAGTTTCCCCAGCAGTGGGAGCTGGGGGAGCCTCACCGTTAATAAAGTTGCTCATCATCATCACAACAGTCCCCTGTTGTCCAGCACAGAAGAGCATTCAGTGGCCCCTGTGGCAGGTAGAGGAGCCACAAGACGGTGGGCAGAAGGCCCCTGGGTGGAGGGCATGCTGAGCAGAGGGTCACGAGACACTCCACCCACAGGGGCAGCATCAGCAGGGACAGGCTGTTCTGCCTCCTCCTGGGAACAGGCCCTCCCCAGGGACCGCTGGGCTTTTTCCTCCGAGCCCAAGGTGCTGCCTGCAGGCCAGGGCTTCCATCTCCCCAGCCGAGGTCACCAGGGGCACCAGCATCCCTTGCCCAGCCCAGCCAGTGCAGCCTTCTCTGACTCAGCAGGGTGGGTGCTTCCGTGTAGGGATGGAGGTTGCTGCCCCTTCGGCACGAAGTTGTGCCAAACATGAACACAGGCATGAAGCCCACACTCCCCTGCTCTCGCCTCCACTGCCCCAGTGACAAGAGGAATGGCCCAGCCACCAGCCGGTGGCTTGAGCAGTGGGCAGGGTTAGGATTCTCTGGCAGGTGATGTGACCCTAAAGGAAGCCAAGAAAAGCAGGTATGGGGCCCACTAAATGAGGACCCCATCTTTCTCAGACCTACCATCTTGGCAGGGCCCCTCGGGAAGTCCAAACATCCCTGTATAGGTGATGATGCTGAGGCCCAGAGAGGGTCTGTGAGCTGTCTGAGGTCACACAGCAAGGTTGTGACAGAATACTCCCCACAGGGAAGTTCTGCCGTGAACAGAGGGACCCCAACCAGGAACTGAAGCATCCCCAGCCTCCCAAGATTGCCCTGGACGGGGAGGAGCGCCTGGCCTTGCCCTCCTGCAATCTAGTCTGTGTCCTGGTTTCCTCTCATGTTCAAGTGAGGACTGATCAGGTTGCTGTCTGAGCGCTGCTGCTGGTAGAGCTTGGTTTCAACAAACAGCTCCTGCAGCTGTTGTCACTGGTAATAATTTAAAAATGGCTCAGTGGCTCACACAGAGCTGGCCTTGAAGGAGCTGAGAGGACCTGAAGCCATGTCGCAGGGCTGTGTCTCTCTGAGCTTACCCGGGTCACTCACTTGGGGACAGGGCGGAGCCAGGCCTACATCACAGATGTCAGAATCGAGGTCCAGGCCCACCCTTGCTGAGTGCTGCACCCCTGGAGGTAGGCACGGGTCTCTCCTCCCAGGATCTGGCCCGTGGTGCTAAGCAGGTGATTGGCCATTTTCTCCGGTGGCCAGGGTACTGACCTGATGCAACGATGCTGTGGCCCATGGGTTTGTGGGAAGTGTGGCTCGGTTGGTCCCTGAGCATGTGTCCAGTGCAGACTTGGCTCTGAGAGGAGCCAGAGGCATCACCGATCCCTTCCTTCTCTTCTGCAACCAGAAATGAGATGCCCCGTTTGGGAGAATCTGGCTCCCAGTCTAAACAGGTGCACATTTGGACTAAGTGACCTTCTGTGGCTCAGGGCTCGGCGTGGGGAAGGACCCACAGCCAAAGCTGTCTGGGCCTTGAGCCTTTCTCAGAATGACATGGATCCCGCTCTGCAGAGAGATGACTGGGTACCAAGCAGCCTGCATGCCCTACAGAGGCCTTTCCAGCACCCTGAGCCTCCTCCGGGCCCAGGTGAAATGCTCCTCCTTGGGCCCTGCTAGGCTGTCCCCCCCGTGCCCCAGGTACTGGGCATGAGAGAGGGACACCAGCCTCAGAGCAGGGATGAACCCAGTTTAGGATGGGTGCATTTCAGCTCTGCTAATAGAGGAACCAGGAAATATCCCACCGTGAAAGGAGAAGTGTGCCACTGTGGCGGCCCCGGGACGCACGTACCCCACCTCTGTCCGCAGCTGAGAGTCTGTTCTCTGGAAAGCCACAAACATTCCAAGACTGGACTTGTGCTGAATCATGTCAAATTCTTCGAACTCCACTGTCCTAGGGAAGGATGTTGGGGGGAGGTGACAGGAGGCGGGCACGATCCCCAAAGAAGTTAAATAGGTCACCTCCACACGTAGCTCTCATCCTTGCCTCCCCTGAGCAGAGGGACCCACACACAGAGACTCTCTCTTGGGCTCTGGCACCATGACCCCCTTGAAGGTGCTGCTTCTGGTCACCCTTGTCCTGGGGGCATCTCTGCAGGACACCCACGCAGGTGAGAGCAGAGGATAGGTGGCTGGAGGAAGGGGTGATGGGAGAGGAGGGTAGGGGGCACCAAGACCACAGCAGCAACACATGCAAACTTATTTATTATTCACCCCCCCCTTGTTCCTGCAAGATGTGAGAGAATGCAGCATAGGATTTTTGAGGGAGGTGTTAAAAAGGAAAACACTCAGGAGGAGGAAGAGGAGGACGATGAGAATGGTACCCCAGTGCTTGGACACTGGCTTGGGAGGGACAAAGTGCTTGCCTTTGGTTGTGAGACTGGTGGCTGTTTGTGTTTTGACATTGGAAAATGAACAAATCTCAGAAGCATTTGTTAGCATCTGTTTTATTAGTGGGTCTTATATATAATGAGGGAATCCACCTAATAGCAGGAGAACTGGTTCCCAGAGCATGTGGAAAGAGATTTTTATATTCAGTTGGGAAAAGAAGGCTGAAATAAGATTGCTACTCTGGAAACAAAGCTGGTTCGTGTCCTGCGTGGCAAGACAGGTGCAGTCTTGGAGGCCACCTTCTCGGCGGGGCAACCTTCCCAGCTGGGCGGCATGATGCTCTCACTGCTGTAAAACGCTGGTCCGGTCAGCTCTGTGAGTTAGTCAAACCAAGTTACACCCCAGAGATGGTCAGAGGACAGTGGAAGTGTTCTTAGAAAACACTCTACTGCGGTATTCGTTAAAGCCACATGGCACCAGTTTGCCTATTTGGGAGTGTTGGATACTTTTTCTTGAGCAAAGATGAGGAAACTGAGTGCCAGGGAGGTGCCTTCACAACGAGGGCCTCCGTTTTGTCATCTGTAAAATGGGGTAGTGCTCGTACGTGTGTGTGCTGGGGGCTCTGAATGAGCTGCTGCAGGGAAAGGCTCAGCCCAGTCAATGGTTGGTGATTCAGGGCTGGTATATAGCACACACATATGCACACATGTGCAGAAACACATGGACACATACACATATACATGCCCAGACTCCCCCACGCAGCAGTACATGTGTGCACACACACATGCAAACAGAGCTCCCCAGAGCACACAGACCTCACACACACCAATGTACTCACACACAGACACACCCTGAATCACACACAGCTATGCATGCACAAACCCTCCCAAACACACACAGACACACATATACACACACAGGGACTTCATGCACACAGTGTGCACACACTGACACACAGACACATGTGCAGACCCCTCACATAGTCCCCACACAAAAACACACTTGCAGACATCCCCACATAGGAGGCCCCCAACAATACACAGACACATGCCTGCAGAAATGCACACACACAGGTACACACCCAGAGACATGCACACGCAGACTCACCCCACAGACAGTTGCCTGACAGTCCCAGACTGCCCCAGCTCCCCAGGACTCCCACGTAGACGCTCAGAGGCACCTGCTCCTGCATTCTTCCTTCGCAGCTCGAGCCACCAACGTGGGCCGGGAGTGCTGCCTGGAGTACTTCAGAGGGGCCATTCCTTTCAGGAAGCTGGCGACCTGGCACAGGACCTCAGCGGAGTGTCCCAAGGAAGCCATCGTGTAAGCCTGCCCTCCACCCCGCTGCCTGCCCCTGGGAGCTGAGCTGGGAGAAGACCATCGTCCCCTTCGCGTCCTGGCACTGCTCCTCAGGGCAGCTCCTGCACCCACACTGTGAGGCCAGAAAGGCCCCAGGCCCTGAGGGTCAACGTCTGCATTGATCTATAGGAAAACTGAAGCCCTGAGAGAGATGGGGCAGCCCCATGTCACATGGGGAATCAGGGGCTGATGCGGTCACTTCCCCTGGCCTGGGCCTGAGCCCACCCGGGGAGAACTCGAGCGCCAGGCCCCTCCCGTGCACCCCTAGTTCCCAGGCTCTGGGTGGGCATGGGCTGTCTGAGGTGGGGGCAGAAGGTCCTGCAGCCCTGGCTCCCTTGAGGCCAGGGCTGCCAGGGACCTCGGGAGGGTCAATAACCACTGAGGGCAGCCTGCTGATGCCCTTGTGACTTCAGGCAAGTTCCTGCCCCCCCTCAAGGGCCCCAGAGTCCTGGTCAGTGCAGGCGGAGGCTGGTCCAGGGCTCTGGAAGGCCCTCCTGCCCTGACACCCCTGATGGCTCTCTCCCTTTCTGTAGGTTTGTAACTGTCCACGGCAAGTCCATCTGCTCAGACCCCAAGGACATGAGGGTGAAGAAGGCAGTCAGGTACCTGAGAGACCCCACACGTCCCAAGGCTCTGTCGCCCTGAAGTGCTGATTTCTCCTGGACCATTTGGAGAGTTCCAACCTCAGTGTTCACAACCCCAGACCCAAGCTGCCTGGGTCCAGTGGAGGTCCTACAAGACAGAGAGGACCCCATCTCCTTTTCTGAACTGGAACCGTGACATGAAAGATCCTAGATTAAAGTTTCTCTCCCTCAGTCTGGGTCAGTGTGTTCTGTCCACCTGAGTCTGTCACATGGAATGGCCCTCAGAGAACATCTGGTCCTGCCCTGCTGGGACAGAAAGGGAAACTGAGGATTAGAGGGGGACACGGCAGCTTCAGACCACACGCAAGTGAGGGGAGGCCCTCCCGAGAGAGGGCGAGGCAGGGGTGGGGCTGGGAGTCCATGAGATGAGCAGGGGTGGGTGGGCTGGCTGCCTTCTCCTCACCTCTGTCATGTGCTTGCTGGTGGGGTATCTTATAAGGGCCATCTGGATTCTTTCCTGTTTTGCCTGTCCCTGAAGTTCCCAGTACCCCCCACCAGACAGCCCCTCTTCTGACCTGTGACCCCCGCCTGATGCAGAGCCGAGGACACACTTGCCCTTAAGCATTTGATCCAATTCCATCAATGTTGCCAGGACCCTTCTGCAGGTGAGGGATGCCACCAGCTTCTGGGGAGTTCCCTGGCCTGGGGTTACTGCAGCCTCTCATCTTGCCCACCTCTCATCCCCCAGCCAGTCCCAGAGAATCCCTGCAAGGCCCAGTCCCACCTGTGCCCCAATTCCTTCTTCTAGCTCAAACTCCAGGCTGGCTTCCGGGGCCTGAGTCCTCTGCCTGCTCTGGGGACACCTGCGGTCTGAGCCACCCTCCCGGTCCAGCTCCATCTCCCACCGCCTCCAGCCCTCATCTCCTGGCCCCATCAGGCTGTTTCTCATGGGGACCCCGGTTCCTCCTGATCCACTGGCGCTGACATCCCACCCAGCCTCAGCGTAAACCCATTCTCCCAACACCCAGTACTTTCTCCTGCTTTGATTCCTCCAGCTCTTAGGGACTGTAGGGCAGCCCACTCTATTGGGATTGTCCTCCCCTAGACTCCTGTGTGGGGCTGTCAGACCTGACCCCTCCATGAGAGCAGGAGCTCCGTGAGCCACCCTGGGGACCCCACGGCCCACGCTCTCAAAAGATGGGACGGGAGGTTATGGACTCAAACCCAACTCAAGGCTGGAGCCATAGCATGCAGAGGGACAGGGGAGAGCTAGGGTCTTTGAATTCGAGTTCTGCCTCACTCTCCTGACCAGCTGTGGGCTCATGGCTTCTCTCTCTGGGACACAGTCTGCGGGCAGGGGCCGTGGGTCCTCGTCTTCCTAGGATTCTGTGACCCGTATTGTTCCAGGGGGCGCATTAGAATTATTTTTAGGGAAAGCTTTTGCCTCCTGCTGCCCCCTGTGGCCAGTTGTCTTGTTGCAGGCCAGATGACAGACCCATGCCCACTTGCCACTAGTGGCAGGAAGAAAGCAAGGACAATAATAATGATAATGAGACTGATGATGGTGATGAACTGGCTTCTCAGTGACCCCAGGGTCTCCTTAGCCACAGAGGGCTCTTCTCTTCCCCAGGTCCCTAGGGTATCCCTCAAATAACTGCGTTGGACCAGGAGTCCCATGGGCAGCTCCGTCCAAGCTCTTTGTGAAAAAGTGTCCTCTGGACGCACGGCATTGGGCGGAGGGCAGCGGATGCTGGTGGAGGAAAGATGATCTCAGAAATGGAGGGAGGCAAGAAGAAGCCACTAGCAAAGGAGAATGGGGCCTAGACCCCTCACCCTGCCAGCCAGAGCCAGAAAGACACTCATTCCCCTCTTAAGAGGGGGAATACAGGAGGCTGTCACCTGACTAATAAATGCTTTTGAAGAGAGATGGGACTAATACAGCTGGCTTTATTTCTACTTACCCAGGACAATGTAAAAATGGAAGAATTAAAAGAAAAAATCACAGATTTTCATTTATATCTAGAATACTCTCTGGAAGAAAGAAATTTAGAGAATTAGATTAGGATTTAGTACCCTCAAATCCCATTGACAGTTTGTGTTCATTCTCAGGAACGTAGAAGAAGCTCGACCCTTTGGCAGCACAAGTAACTCTAACACCTATTGGTGGGACAGCTAAGATTTCCAATCCTGAACTAACAGACTTAATGGAGAAGAGAAAGGCCTTTTCATGTTTATTTCTGTTCTACTAAATACTACTGAAGTAGATGGTGTGCACCCAGAGGGCTGCCCACTGTAGGTCTTTGTTTCTTCTGTGTAGACAGGTCAACTAGGATGGCATCCCTGGGGCTTCCCCTCCAGGCTACCATGTCAGATATCTTGCTTCTCTCTTCTAATAACCTTTAACAGCTAAGCTTCTAACACAGTGGTTCCCAGCCCTGGTTGCACATCAGAATCACCAAGGCAACTTTATTCCCAAAGATTTTTTAAATTAAAAACAAAAAAAGCTTTAGTTCCACCATTGTGGAAAGCAATATGGAGGCTCCTCAAAAAACTAAAAATAGAAATACCATTTGACCCCAGAATCCCACTCCTTGGAATTTACCCAAAGGATACTACTTCTCAGTTTCAAAAAGACATATGCACCCCTATGTTTATCACAGCACTATTTACAATAGCCAAGATATGGAAGCAACCTAAGTGTCCATCAGGTGATGAATGGATAAAGAAAATACACAATGGAATACTATTCAGCCATAAGAAAGAAACAAATCCTACCATTACAACAACATGGATGGAGCTGGAGGACATTATGCTCAGTGAAATAAGCCAGGCAGACAAAGACAAGTGACAAATGATTTCCCTCATTTGTGGAGTATAACAACGAAGCAAAACTGAAGGAACAAAATAACAGCAGACTCAGAGACTCCAAGAAGGAACTGGTGTTTACCAAAGGGAAGGGGTGTGGGAGCGGGGAGAGGGAGAAGGGGATTGAGGGGTATTACGTTTAGTACATATGGTGTGGGGGAATCACGGGGAAAACAGTGTAGCACAGAGAAGGCAAATAGTGAATCTGTGGCATCCTACTACACTGATGGACAGTCATTGCATTGGAGTACGGGTGGGGACTTGATAATACAGGTAAATGTAGTAACCACAGTGTTTTTTCATGTGAAACCTTCATAAGAGTGTATATCAATAATACCTTAATAAAAATAAAAAATAAAAAATAAACGTTTGCTGAGATATAACTCGCATGCATTTAATTCACCCATCAAAAGCGTACAATTCAGTGGCTTTTAGTATATTCACAGGGTTGTACAACCATCACCACAATCAATTTTGGAACATTTTCATCACCCTCCAAAATAAACCCACTACTATCAGCAGTCACTCCCCCTATCTTCCCAGACCCAAGCAACCAGTCAGTAAGTAATCTATTTCCTCTCTCTATTGATTTGCCTATTTTACACATTTCATATAAATGGGATCATTCAATAGGGATTCTTTTGTGACTGGCTTCTTTCACTTAGCAGACTGTTTTCAAGGTTCATCATATTGCAGCAGGTATCAGGTACTTCATTTCTTTTTATTATGGAATAGTATTCCATCACAGAGATACGCCTCATTTCCTATTTATGAATGTATCCATTCATCAGTGGATGGGTATTTGCAATGTTTCCACTTTTTGGCTATTATGAAAAATGCTGCCATTCATGTAAAGGTTTTTGTGTGAACATGTTTTCATTTCTCTTGGGTATATACCTAGGAGTAGAACTGCTAGATCATATGGGAACTCCGTTTAGCCTTTTGCAGAACTGCCAGACTGTTTTCCAAAGCAGCTATACCATTTTACCCTCCCACAAGCAATGTCAAGCGTTCCAAATTTTTCCATAGCCTAGCCAACACCTTCATTACCTTTTTGATTACAGCCATCTTAGTGAAAACCCCTCTTTAACCATTATGGAGGGAAAAAAAACCTCTTAATACAAAATTAAAATAGTAAACTTGTACCCATCAGCCAGCTTCAACAACTGTCATGTTGTAGCCAATGCTGTTTCATTAACATCGCTACCCACTTTCCCTTCTCCAACACCCAAATTATTTCAAAGCCGATCCAAGATATTCCCCCCAATTACTTCATCATTTTAAAATTTGTGTTTGTTTGAATGGGATACAAATAAGGGCTCTACTTGTGAATGACTGACAGGCCTCCCAAATCTCTTTTAATCTACAGGTTTCCCTTTCATCACCTCATCTTTCTCTTTTTTTTCTCTCTTACAATTTCTTTGTTGGAGACTCTGGATTATTTGCCCTACAGACTAATCAAACCAGTGCTACTCAAACTTGAAATGTGCATGTGAATTACCTGGGAAGCTTGTTAAAATGCAGATTCTGATTCACGTATCAGTATTTCATTTCTCTTTATTATTGAATAGCATCCATTATATGGATATGTCACACTTTGTATTTATGAATGTATCTGGGATGGGGCTGAAGATTCTCCATTTCTAAAAGCTCCTAAATTGATGTTTATGTTGTTGATCCATATAGACTACACTCAAAGTAGCAAAAATGGAGATTCCCACAGGTTTTACTGATTGCATCCTCATGGTGTCATTTAACATATTCCTCTGGCCTCTGTGTTTCCTATAAATTGAAAATGAGCTCTAAAGTTTTGATAGGATTCTTGTGGCATTATTTTTTTATTCGATCATTCCAGGCTTTCATCAAGAGCTATGTTAACAACTGGTAATCTCTTTCTGGAACTTAGCAGACACTGATGATTTGTTATTTAGATTCATTAATTCCTCAGAGGTTGGAAAATGGTGGTATATTGTATCTTTATTAACTGGAGTATTTCCTCTCAGAGAAATTCTGACTGAGGAAGCTCTATGGTAGATCCCTTTGCCTCCTGACTGACTCCATTTGCTTCCCCCTGGGGTCCTGCAGGGCATGCCCTGCCTGTTCCTAGAGAACATGACAGTCATCCCCAGGTCTGTAAGTCTGACCATACCCAATTAAAGCAAAGCCCAGGTACTTTTAAAACACTTTCTTCTTTTTATCAGCAGGTATGTAAACACATTTGTATCACCTGTTTTTACAGTTTGAGATATAATTCACATACTATATAATCACTCATTTAAAGTGTGTAATTCAGTGGTTTTCAGTATAGAGTTGTGTAACCATCACTCTATAATAGACTTTAGAACATTTTATTCACCCCAAAAAGAAACTGCTACCCACCAGCAGTCACTCCCCATGTCCCCCAATCTACCCATTCCCTAGGCAACCACTAAGCTACTTTCTTACTTGTAGACTTGCCTATTCTGGACATTGCACATAATAGAACTCTACAATGTGCAGTCTTCTGTGGCTGGCTTCTTTCACTTAGCATGTTTTTCAAGGTTCATCCATGTTGGAGCAGGTAGTCCATTCTTTCTTGATGCAAACAGTATTCCATTACATGGATATGCTATATTTTATTTATCAATTCACCAGCTGATGGACACGTGCTGGTTTCCACATTTTGGCTATTATGAATAATGCTGCCAAGAAGATTCATGAACTAGTTTTTGTGTGGACAATTATTTTCCTTTCTCTTGGGTATATACTTAGGAGTGGAAGGGCTCAGTTGTATGGTAACTCGATATTTAACTTTCTAAGGAACTGCCAGACTGGTCTCCAAAGGGGCTGCACCACTTTATATCATACCCACAGTATATGAGAATTTCAGCTTTTCCCACATCCTTGCTAACATTTGTCGTCGTCTTTTTGATTATAGCTATCCTAGTGTGTATGAAGCGTGTGAAGTACATTCTTGTTTTTGACTCACATTTCCCTGATAGCTAGTGATGTTGAACATCTTTTCATTTGCTTATTGGACACATATATTATCTTTTGGAGAAATGTCTATTCAGATCTTTTGCTCATCTTTAAATTGGGTTGTCTTTTTATTATTGAGTTGTAAGAGTTTTTTTTTTTTTTTTACATATTCTGGATACAAATCCTTTATCAGGTACTGCACTTCACAGATACTGCCTTTTTCACAAATTGAAGGTTTGTGGCAACTCTGCATGAAGGATGCCTACCGGCACCATTTTTCCAACAGCATTTGCTCACTTCATGCCTCTATCACAGTTTGGCAAGTTTTGCAATATTTCAAACTTTTTCATAATTATATTTGTTATAGTGATCTGCAATCAATTTGTTGAAAGCTCAGATGATGGTTAATATTATTTAGTAATGAGGTTCTTTTAAATTAATGTATGCACCTCTTTTTAGACATAATGTTATTGCACACTTAAACTATAGTATAGTGTTAACTTTATATACACTGGAAAACCAAAAAATTCATTTGCCTCGCTTTACTGTGATATTTGCTTTACTGCAGTGGTCAGGAACTGATTATCTCTGAGGTATGTTTGTATATAATCTGCAAATATTTTCTCTAATTCTGTGGGCAATTTTCTCACTTTCTGGAGACTGTCCTTTGAAGCACAAAAGGTTTTAATTATGATGAAGTTCAATTTATCTATTTTTATACTGTCACTTGGGCTTTTAGTTTCATACCTGACAAGGCTTTGCCTAACTTAAGGTCAGGAAGATTTATACCTGTTTTCTTTTAAGAGTTTCACAGTTCTAGCTCTTACATTTAGGTCTGTATTCCATCTGGAGTTAAGGTGTCCAACTTCATTCTCCTGCATGTAGATAATCCAGTTGTCTCAGCATCATTTTCAGTTGATCACAGACTCATGGGTTTATTTATGGGCTCCTAATTCTATTCAAATGATCTATATGATTATGCTTATGCCAGTACCATATAATTTTGATTACTATAGCTCTGTATTAAGTTTGAAATCAGAAGTATGAGTCTTTCAACCTTCTACATTTTAAAGATTGTTTGGCCATTCTAGGTCCCTTGCATGTTGATATGGATTTTAGGATCAACTTGTCAACTTCTGTAAAAAGCAGCTGGGATTAATGACATTGACTCTGGAGACTCATCTGGGGAGCACAGACATCTTAATAATATTAAGTCTTCTGATCATGAATATTAGATGTCTTCCACCTGCTTTCTTAAATAATGAGTACTATGCACTTTTCTCCACCTTGCATTTTTTATTTTACTTAATGGTATATCCTAGAGTCACTTCATGGTAGTATATATTCTCATTCCTTTGTACTACTGAAAAGTATTTCACTATGTAGAAGTACCATAT